AATATGTTTTAACACATGTGCCTAAAATAAAGAACAGCTGTGAGAGAAGCTTAATGTGTACGAATTCTTACAGAAGTATTATGTACTTACTTTCCCTTGAGTACATGCTAGCCAGCAGGGAAGATAAGGACATTGAAAAAATGTTAAAAAGCTGTAGGGACATGTAATGTCCATTGTATTTGTGTGTGTGGGTGTGGGTGCGTGCGTGCGTGCGTGTGTGCGTGCATGTGTGTGTGAATTTTATTGCCCAAAGATGAGTCATCAATGAGTCAATTAGTACCTCACTAGATTTCCCCATACCTCAATTTTTTCCCACTCTTTCTTTCCAATCCTATTAATATCAATGCTGTTTTTATTATTATTATTATTTGCATGTATGGGTGTTGCAAAGAAAAATATTTCTTCTTTACAAATTTATCTGATTTCATTTCAGATTGCAGGGGATACCCATGGCTTATGAGAAGATACAGTTGGTTTCATGCAATGGATGGTTGTTTGATACAAATCCTTTCAATCATGTAGTAGTTCGAGCTATGTTCTATGTCTTTACTCCACAAATTGGCAACATATTAGAAGGTTTGTTACACGTATGCATTGTACACATATGAAATGTTTAAATGGTATGTCAGTCATGAAATATGTATAACCCCCAAATCCATTTGGTAAAAGATAATTTTACCTTTCATGAGTTTCAAGGATCTGCTTTATTTTTAATGCATCCTTTTATCAATTTTCAGCTACTGTAAAAAAGAAGTCAATAAATCATGTGGGTTGCCTTGTTCATGGAATGTTCAATGTGTCAGTTCCCAGACCACAGGATGAAGCAGTGGAGAATTGGTGTGGCACTTATGTACAGGAAGGAGATGTTGTAAAAATTACCATTACAGATCTAAATATAACCACTTACATTCCTTACATCAAGGGTGAATTGGATCCAGACAGGTTAGTTTTTTTTTTGTTTTTTTAATATCCATAAGTATAATTTAACATAAATGTTTTTATCATCATATATGAATATGAAAAAGAGAAATTATTATATTTTTATATCTGAAATATTTATTTGGAATCAACTAAATTTTAAATCTTGAAATAACTGCATCCTGGGCTAACTGCCATATTGTTAAAAGTCTGAAGGATTCCTAAACTCAAACTTTAAGTGCTACCCTTACTAATTACCTCTCCCTTTGCAGTTGGCATTGCTGGCAAAATTCATACCTGAAATTCATTACATATAAAGATTGTGCAATCTTTCTAAGTTTATTACAGTAAAATTTGTAAGCAAATGAGAAAGATTTTAATTATTAAGACATTAATGTGACATGTCTACATTACAAAAATAAGGAAGCATTGATCAAGAACTAAATGAAAGATAGGAAACTTAAAAAAATATATATAAAAAAATGGTGGTTTAGATCCAGTTAGCAGATACCAGAAAGGCAGTCAGCCTGTTAAAAAAAGTTGCAGAAAGGATATTGATGAAGTAAAATCTGACTTGTAAATGATCAAAGCAGATAATATTGGGTGATGTCAGTTCAATAGATGGTGCCAGAGACTGTTAGAGATTGTACTTTTTTAATGTTGCAAATGCTCTTCATGTGCAGGGCGGGGATTGCCAGAATTGTTTAAATTGTTAATATTAGGGTTTAAGGAAATTATGAAGGGAAATAATGTGAAAAAGCATTGCAAAAGGCTACACACACCCTACCTTGGCTAAAACCCTCAACTTTGCTCATGTCTTTTGGAAGGCTTTAGGGAAATAGGGAATGATGTTCTAGAATCTCAAATATAACATAAGGTTTTTTGAACAGAGAAAAAGTTTCTATTTAATAACACAACTGCTAGTGTCCTATAATACAGCCATATCTCAGCTCATGGTAATTTGGAAAAACAAGTAATGACATTGCGGTCTTCTCTTTAGAAGTAAATTTACAAAAAGTAAAAGATAAAAAGTAGATACACAAACATGTAAATTATGTTCAAGAGATTACTTAAAATAGGGAACATTTTACTGATATCTTATATTTAGTTATCTATAAGTATGTTTTCCACAAACTCATAATTACAGTTTATATTAGTGTCCCCATGCACTTTTTTTAGTATAATTATTTTTCTTTCCACTTGTAATTACATAATGGCTACTTCATGGTAGCAAAAAATACTAGTGAGAGGTATAAAAAATACAAAATAGCCTCTGCTAATAAGAATTTTTCAGGAAACAAGCAGTGAGAAAAAATTATTGATTTCTTTTTATAGGGTTCAAGAGTTGGTAGATGCCAGACGTGTGGAGGAGGAGCAAAAGGCCCAAGATAACAAGAAAATTACTTTTGATGATGATAGTGGAATTAGTAGTAACGATCATGAAGAATCTGTTGTGCCAGAAGTGAAGAAGAAAAAGAAGAAAAACAAGAGCAGTAGTAACAGTGACGATCAGAATAACACTGTAATGGATGACTTGGAGGATGAAACTGGAGAAATAGATGGTACTGATGAATCACAAAAGAAAAAGAAGAAAAGGAACCAGGAAGATGGAGAAGCTTCTAACACAGATTTATTAAATATTGTAGAAAAGAAAAAGAAAAAGAAAAAGAAAAAACACCAAGAGAGTGATGGTGAAGTGAACCCAGAAGAGGAGACTGAAGAGAATGACATACTTGACTCCTTCTTAAATGAGAGTATTCATAGTAACCCTAATGACACACCCAAAAGAAAAAAGAAGAAAAGAGACAAGTTAGATGAGGAAGAAGCCACCAATACGTTAAGTGATTCTGAAACTAAAGAAACAAAAAAGAAAAAGAAAAAGCACAAGAAGGGAATTGCGTTGAGTGATATAGATGGAGAAGTAAAGGATACAGAAGAGAATGATTTTACAGATGTACCTGGTAACTTACTAGATGAAAGAATGCTTAGTGATTGTAATACTACACCCAAAAGAAAGAGGAAGAAACAGGAAGTGGAAGACAAAGAGGTTAATATCACTGTGTTAAATTCTGCTTCCAAGACTAAAGAGGAAAAGAAGCACAAGAAAAATAAGCATAGAGCAATTGAACCAAATGAAGAGAATGAAGAAGTTAATTTAAATGAGATGTTGGATGATCTGATGCAGGAAGCGTCCCCTTCTAAGCCAAGTGGCAAAACTCCTGATGCTGTGAAGCCAACAAAGTCCAAGAAACGTAAAGCAGATGAGGATCTGGACAGTAGTAGACGTAGCAAAAGGAAGAAACTGTAAAATCTGTTTAGAGCATCTAACTGGGGTTTGCATTATTTCTTGGATTGAGACTTTTAAAAAGTATGGTGTTAAGACTGACTCTTTATAATCACCCAGTCTATATAAAGATGTGTGTACAAAAATGAGTGTTAATGGCACTTATCTATGTACACTTTTCACTCTTTTTATTATACTACATGAAAGAATGTACCATTTCTCACCTATTGAATAAACTACCAGCTATTCTTGCTGCTCAATTGTTGTACCCAAGTTGTATGAATAAAAAATTTAATTGAGAAATAATTGAAAAATGGGGGACATGTAAATATGACTTTCATGAACTTTCATGACAATGCAGTGATTTTTTTTTGTTGTTTATTAAATCCAGTTTACAAAGTCAAAATTTGTTTCATTCAGCCATATCCTTCAGTCAACTCTCTCTCTCACCCTTGCTCTCATATTCACACACACACTCACGCTCTCACTCACATGCTCACTCATTTAATTTTTTTCCTTCCTACTTATAAGGAACTGAACTAACATATACGTCAAAATATTCTAACAGTTCTTGTGCTGAAGTAGCAGCCCCCAGTGAAGAGTACTTTATATTTCCTTGTATTCCCCTGACTGCATTCCAGCTCTTCCTACACTTCAACTTAAACCATTCAGCTGGTTCAGTAATTTGAATGTATTTTAGGAATTAAAACATTATTTTGAGAATATCATATCACATTTTAATTTCTCAATATATAAGTCTGAGTCATTATTTGAAATTTCTGTTACACCATCTTTTATCATTAGTGCCTGACAAAAGTAAATTAATTGAGATCAAGAATGCTTAACTCAATTTACACACTGAGAACAGGCTGAATGTGAGCAGGACTTATAAAAATATTACATAAAAGACTATACTCTTTCAAGACCTTGGACATCCCATGGTAAAATCAGAAGAATATTATCAAAGGATCTTTGATAATAAGGATGAAATAATACTAAATAATGAGGTAATACAATATTAAACCATAAAATAGGTTTCTGATTATATTCATAAAAAAAATATACATCAGAAGAAATTATTAGGGCGACTAGAAATGGCACCTGATACACACAGTTTTCCATTTCACAAATTCTCCACCAAACATTGTAAAGCTCCGAGAACTTCTGATGCTCTTCCATAATTGGGGATGCGAGTAACATCTATCATTATGTGGCAATATACAACACTGGCTTTTGGTTGCATTTCTCCACTACATAAAAAATTAATCTAAACAGTTTTGAAATTGATGCATTTTGCAGACGGGATTTTATTTTGCAATCTATTAATGACTATAATACTATGTTTAAGATACTTGTGCTATGACTACAAAAAAAATTGGAAGGGAAAATATACTCTTATTGCAAAATAGATTAAATGCAATAATAGCAATTCACTAACACTTTCATTGAAACAATTAAAATTATAGTAAAAATTAATGACAGTGAATATGCTACTGATAAATACAGATATATAAGAGCAATAATAATAATTCAATTATTTTATAGATATATTTGTTTGCCAGAGCTGAATAATGATGGTGTAAGTACTAACAGCAAAATTTTTGTTTTTTCTATATTTGATGCTGGGCATTTATAACACATTTTATTTTCCATGTGATTTTTAATTAGTTTTACATGGAAACAATGTCATATAAAACTTCTTTAAGAAGGAGTTTAAAAATATCTACTTTTACCCTTAGAACTTGATTTTTGAGCTTCTACAGTTTCTCCCCCTACATTTTATAAGTTTTATATAACATTACATCACATCTGGTATTACATTAGACATTTAGAGCACAGTTACAAAGGACTTTCCATCAAAAAGTAACAATTACATTCATTCACTTGAAATACTTCCTGTATACTGACAATTTCAGTTTAAAAACAAGCTGAAAGAGAATTTCTCCTTGCACTGAACTGTACCATCTACTTTTATCTACCGAGAACTTGTTTTACGGCTTTCCATTCATCTTGCGATAAGGGCTTGAGGTTCGTTCCAACTGTTTGCTGCTTTGCCTCTAAGTCATTTAAGTGGTTCACTTTACTTCTCAGACCATTGCGAAGATTGTTGATTTCGGTATCCAACTGCTTTTGTTCTGCAATAAAAAGGAGTTTTTTCGTGAAATCAGATATGGCTTATCTTTTTCTTTTAAAACTTAAACCTCTTTTTTTTCTTTTTCTCTTCTGTATCTCTCCACCAAAGTTGCCTACTTATTCACTAATATTTGTTCTTCTTTCCCCTCTCCCTGTCCCTGTCTCTCTCTTTAATGCACAAGACTAATTATACTTACCTTTTTCAATGCAGTCTACGACAACTGTGTTTGGGAGCTTCAAAAACATATTCCCAACACAAATCCAACTCTTGTTGCCTGTGGACTGACTGGCTAATTTGTTGGTCTTCAATTGTCGCAGAGCTTCACGGTTAGTATTACGTCGACGATCAAGCGTAACAATTTCCTGTCGGTCTGATATTACATCCTCTGCTGCAGCTTCTACTTCTTCTAACTGTTGCTGGATACGTTCTGGAGACACTGCCATTATTCCTGCCAGAAATGATGCTAACATCACAACACATTTATATAGCTCTGTTACATATAAAAATACCTAGAAATACTTTTTTTATATACATTTATTAATATTTCATAAAAAAATAATTATAACACTCACACACACACACACACACACACACACACACACACACACACACACACACACACACACACACACACACACACACACACACACACACACACAAAGAATTTAAACATTGATTTTATCTATAAATCTCATTATGTCCATCATCAAAATCTTCATATATTCATATATTTGGCATCCAAATAAACATGGTGAATGACATAAGAGAACAATCTAACCCACTGGCACCAGGTAAATGCACTGGCCACAGTTTTCTTTTGTCAATTCTATGTTCCACACTGAATAATAATAATAATAATAATAATAATAATAATAATAATAATAATAATAATAATAATCAAGGAATTGGGAACAAACAGGCCTTGTAGGTGGCTCCTTGATAACTAAGCACTTATAGAGCCACCTGGGTGAACAACATTAATAAACTAAATTTACTGTGTGGACAGGGGTCTACCGGTTAAGCATAATTCATTTAGTTCCCATAAATAGTACAAACATAATATCAAATTTAAATCAGTTATTTTACTTTCTATAATCTGTTAAATAAGTATATAAGGTATTTCCTGAAGATATACTATAGCATACATAAGTTATTCAGTTGGAATTTTGTAGAGTACCTTTAATAATCAGGTTCACTCAATTCTCTTCTTATGTCTATCTCTCTTCTTTTTTCTTTCATTCTCTGCCGATTTCTTTCTCTTCTACTAATTGTTCTTTGCCTTTCAATCCTTTCATTACTAGTGTGACATCGCTGAACTGCACTTGCATCACCAGGACCAAAATGCGTAACTCTTAGAGAAGTTTTATCAACTGCTCCTAATCCTTTACGATCATTCTTTAGTGCGGTTTTGACTGGAAATTTGGCTCCAGAACTATCAGGACCAAGACCCTTTTCTGTGTCCCAGCCTTGGTTCACAAGGATCTGAAAACCTTTATTACTTGCAGGAATTCCATAGACTGTCTTATTACTTCCTGCACCAACATTGAACTGATGAACAATTGACGTTTCATGCTGAAGACGTGTACTAGTTTCAACTGTTATTTTGCATATATCACAATAAAATTTTTCTATTACATTACTTGAACTTGAAACAATATCTTTATTAGTACCAGAATCCTCATCTTTTCTCTTATTAGCTTTTATTAACATATCCACAATGCCCTGGTGACCCTTCAACATTGCTAGATAGATTGCAGTATTTCCTTTAGAATCTCTTGTACCAGTTCTAGCTTTTCTTTCCAATAAAGTTCTCACAACAGCTTTAGCACCACCACAAGCAGCAACCATAAGTAATGACCATCCATACTCATCTTTTGCATTTACACTGAGGCCGTTGTCCAACATCTGTCGTAAATTTTCTGCTTCATTATTCTGGGCATGCTTCATTGCTTTGTGTAAGGTTTTGGGACAGCACTTTTTAGCCTCTACATTTACCTCCTCATCTTCAGAGCTACATTCTTCTTCTAAGAAATCTGTATGAGAGGAACCAGTATTTCTACTTGTGCTTGCAACTGCATCTTCCTGTAGTAAGCCTTCATAGAACTTTTTAGCATCCTCTCCACTGATATAACTTTTATCAATACGTTTTTCTTCTTTAGATTCA